CAATCTCAGCCCCACCACCACTCAGTGGCCCAGGTGTTTCTGTGTGGATCAGAACCAGGGTAAAAGAGCTTTTGGCCTTGACTATGAACTCCCTACCCTTCCCTAACAAAATTGGATGCAAACGAACAAGGAGGTGGCAAGTGCCATTATTATGAAGAATAAAAGCCAACAGCAGCAATCGCAAAAAGGAATTTAGGAGAATATTGAACTCCATTTCAGAAGTGATGAGCACCTCCAACCCCCGCTGAAGTTGGTAGGGCCACCTATGAAAATCAGACCCCTGATTTGTAGTGTGACAATGTCCCTTTAAATACACAGGGGTCAGAGTGGCTGGCCTGGTGATTTGGGGATCCAATGTACCCTTTGTTAGGCTGGAAGGCATGCTGCATTTAGACTTCCAGTGGGAGAAAATCAATGCTGAGACAAAATAGGAAGATGATCAGCAGGGAGCTTATTTATTTGTCCAGTTTATAACATGTGCCCATTGCGATCTCTAGCTGCATGTACCAAAGAAATAACCCCTTCCAGATTAACAGGTTTCAACTGACACAACAATTAATGCCAGGAACAGACAAAATATTTTGTGCCCAATTGATAATTCCAAACCCCTCTCTCCTCCAAGTATGTTATATGCAGCTGGGAAATCTTCCAGCCAAAACTAGGCATTTAGAATGAACTAAATAGACATCAGCACGAGATATAGGGCCTGTCTTTTTTGCTTTGTGTTGGTACAGCACCGAGCATAATGGGGTCCTGCTGCATGAGAGGGGCTCTTAGGTGCTACCCTAAATTCAAATGGGGGAGTGTGACACTCTGTACTTTGGGGGAACACCTTACACACCCATATTCATCCTTGTAAAATGACTGTGTGGGATCCAATGCAAAGTTTGTCATGGCGGGTGTCTTCAGAAGGCTCATGATGCACTGAGCATTGTTGTTACAGTAATGTTATAGGTTATAATTTCATGTATGTAGTTATGAGGCAGAAAATGTATCCTCAGGGCTTAAAATAAGCCCAGGTAAAAACTCTCCAAGAGCTGAGAGGCGGTTCACACCTCATCAGGGCATGTATGGGAGAAACCCAGCCCAGCCTCACAGGAACAAATGACACTGGCCTAGACAGCAACAAAAGAATCTGTTGGACTCTCGAGGGAATCACCCCCCTTCCTTTGGTCAGTTTGGGACTGCGATGTGGTAATGCTCACCTGACTCTGAAGGGGTAAATCTGACCCAAAATGACTTGTTATGCTTTGATTTATAATCACTTAAAATCTATCTTTCATAGTTAATAAATCTGTTTGGTTATTCTACCCGAAGCAGTGCGTTTGGTTTGAAGTGTGTCAGAGGTTCTCCTTGAGATAACAAATTTGGTACATATCAATTTCTTTGTTAAATTGACAAACTCATATAAGCTTGCAGCGTCCAGCAGGTATAACTGGACACTGCAAGACGGAGGTTCCTAGGGTTGTGTCTGGGACCGGAGATATCGGCTAGTGTCATTCGCTTGCAAGTAGCTGGGAGCAGCTTACATGCCAGAGGCTGTGCGTGAACAGCCCAGGAGTGGGGGTTCTCACAGCAGAGCAGGGTAAGGCTGGCTTCCAGTCAAGAGTTGGAGTGACTTAGCAGCTCACCGTTTCGGAGAACACCAGGGGAACGTCACAGGGAGTTTGGTTCTAAGAGCTTGATCCAGAGCCAGCTGTGCATAGGGTCTGTCTACATTACAATCACTCCGTAGGATTGCAGCTTGAGTGGCCGCACCCGAGCTAGCTTTATTCGAGCTATGGCAGGCAGCAGAGCAGCAAAGCTGTGGCAGCATGTGCTTCAGCACCGGCTAGCCCTGCAAGTAATTAGCCAGGATTCCTGGCAGGCTTGTACAGCTCATGTTGCTACTCCCATCGTCTAGCTACATGTCTATGCCAGCTGCTATCACACCCTGTGATTGCAGGGTAGGCATTCCTATAGAATGCAGTTGCTTCCCCCGCCTTGGCTGTAGCATCACTGCAATGTTATCCTCTAATGAAGCTGCAGAATGGGATTGAGCCGAAAAGGCTGGCAGCGCCTTTTCAGATATGCTGTCCCCTGTGTGCATGTGGCTGTTCAACTGAAACATGAAGAGATCCTGCTTCGGGTGTAATTGTGCAAACACCCCTGGCTGAATTCTGCTGGCTATAGGCAGAGTATGGCACCAGGGCCGGCTCTAACTTTTTTGCCGCCCCAGGCAAAAAAGAAGAGCGCCGCCCCGCCGTAACCCCCCCCCCCCCCAGCGCTGCGCCGGGCCAGGCCAGGCCAACCAAATCCCCGAAGCGCCGGGCCGCCCAAACCCCCGCCCCGAGCGCCGCGCCAGGCCGCCCAAACCCCCGGAGCGCCGGGCCAGGCCGCGCCGGTCCGGGCCAGGCCAGGCCGGCCAAACCCCCTGAGCGCCGCGCCAGGCCGCCAAAACACCCCCGCACTGCCCAGCCGAAACAAAAAACAAAAAAAACCCTCGAGCGCCCCCCGCCACTCCAACATTGGCCGCCCCTTCTGAGGTGCCGCCCCAAGCATGTGCTTGGTCGGCTGGTGCCTAGAGCCGGCCCTGTATGGCACTACTCACCATGAGCAGAGGGGGCAGTATCAGCTCTTAGTGCAGGCGTGGCCAACCTGTGGCTCCGGAGTCACATGCGACTCTTCCAAAGTTAACATGTGGCTCCTTGTATAGGCGCCAACTCCGGGTCTGGAGCTACAGGCGCCAACTTTTCAATATGCTGGGGGCTGCTCACTGCTCTACCCCTGGCTCTGCCACAGGCCCTGCCCCCACTCCACTCCTTCCCGCCCCCTCCCCTAAGCCTGCAGTGACCTCGCTCCTCCTCCTCCCCCTTTGAGCCTCCTGCACGCCACGAAACAGCTGATTGGGAGGTGTGGGGAGGAAGGGGGAGACACTGATCGGCGGGGGCTGCCGGTGGATGGGAGGCCCTGGGAGCGGGGCGGGGGAGCTGCTGGGGGGCTGCTGACATATTACTATGGCTCTTTGGCAATGTACATTGGTAAATTCTGGCTCCTTCTCAGGCTCAGGTTGGCCACCCCTGCCTTAGTGCATGCTACCGTGACGATTCCCATTAATTTCACAGTAACGAGCAACAGGCTCAGTGATGAGTTTGCAAAATTGGTCCTGCCAAGCGCCCCCATGGATGAAGCCGCCCTGAGACATCAGCAAATCCCTCAGCCTGGAAACCCAGAAAGGGAGGGTCCAAAAACCAAACTCCTCAGTAAAATGGCTTTGCTCAGGCTCTGGGGTGCCGTGCCGACCAGCGTTTACACTTCCTTTGATATACAGTAACCAAGCAGAAAGAAAGAAAAGCCCTGGTGTTGCAGCCTGGATTTCAATGAGAGGCCAAAGCAGGCTGGAGCAAGGTCAGAAAACATTTCCATTGAGAAGAAATGAAATCCCAGAGAAAGCTCTCCCGGCGATGCAGCCAGGCTCTCAGCAGACACTAAGCCATAGGAGACAGCTTGTCCCCGCTCACACATGTAGGAGAGTTCCCTGTGCATCTGGGAAGACAAGTCAGGTCCTGGACCAGTTATTTCCTCAGCTCCCTATCTGTATTCCTCATTTCATTTAAGGGTGATTCTACCCTGGGATGAAAGATTCAGGCAAGATCCTCACTAGCCATATAAGGCCCAACTTTGGCCTCCACCAAGGAGGAGGCAGTGGGTGGGGCCTGTGGACAGGTGATCTCTGTTACAGTGGGCTCCATGTCAGCCCCTGTGGGATAGAGGGAACAGCTTTTGTTTATCACCAACACCACACACAGTCCCTGCCCCAAGGTGCTCACGCTATAATATTCAATGGATCCGGCAACCCCATGGCTCCCACACTACTGGGACAGAAGCTGCATCCATAGATCAAACCTACGAATTGACTGGGCTGCAGCCTGGGGTGGCGGGTGTATTTTGCTTCCCCCTAACTCTGCACACATCAAGCTTTCAAAACCAGGCTGATTAAGCTTCATGAGCATCCTCCATCTTCACCTCAGCCCTGGGTTTCATCTGCTTGTAACCTAGACAGAAAGTTCTTTGGGGCAGAGGCAGTTTTTTAAATACATGTTTGTACAGCCCCCAGCACAACCCGGGGGGGGGGGGAGGGTACATGTTACCGTAATACAGTAACGCCTCACTTAACGTTGTAGTTATGTTCCTGAAAAATGTGACTTTAAGTGAAACGATGTTAAGCGAATCCAATTTCCCCATAAGAATTAATGTAAATGAGGGGGTTAGGTTCCAGGGAAATTTTTTTCACCTGACAAAAGACTATATTATATATATACAGACACACACAGAGTATGTTTTAAACAAACAATTTAATACTGGTACACAGTGATGATGATTGTGAAGCTTGGTTGAGGTGGAGGAGTCAGAGGGTGGGATATTTCCCTTACTGCTAAATGATGAACTAGCAATTGGCTGAGCCCTCAAGGGTTAACTCTCTCACTCTGCAAGGCAGCAGGAATGGAGGGATATATGCGCATGTCCCTTAAGTACAGTGCCTTGTTAATTAGATCAGCTTGCTGAGACTGCAGCTGCTACAAGCTCCCTCCGTCCTGAGTCCTGCTCTATGGAAGATGGGGTAAGCGGGGTGCAGGAGCAGGGGGGAAGGGGATACCTTGACATTAGCCCCCCTCTTCCTTCCCTCCCCCCCCCCGGCACAGTAAGCAGGAGTCTCGGGGAGCAGCTCCAAGGCAGAGGGCAGGAGCAGCACATGGCAGTGGGGGGAGGGACACAGCTGAACTGCAGGCAGCTGCTGCACAGGGAACTTAGGGGAGAGGGGAGCTGATAGGGGGCTGCCAGTTCACCCTGGTTGCAAGCCCCCACCCGCTAGCTGCAACGGGCTACTCTTCCTGCAAGCAGTAGACAAAGCAGGCGGCTGCCAAAGGACGTTAGACGGGAGCATCACACAACTTTAAACGAGCATGTTCCCTAATTGATCAGCAACGTAACAACGAAACAACATTAACTGGGAGGACTTTAAGTGAGGAGTTACTGTACATATAAATAATAAACAAGGGCGAGGATTTTCAAAGCAGCCCAACTCCTACTGCAAGTCAGGGGGAGATGGGTCCCTAGCTCCCACCTGTTCCTTTGCAAGTCTCCCCAGTAGCAAGATGCTGGTGAAGTGAACTCCAGCCTGACACAAAGCAGAATCCCCTGCGCGGTAGAACCATTTACACTGTACAAGCAACAAGGACAAAGTATATCAATGCTGTAAAGGGGGGCAGATCTCCAGCTGGAGGTGGACACCAACCTCCCATGAATCCCATGGGGGAATTACAAAGGCAGTTCTCTGGCGAGAAAGGATGGTCCAGCAGTTAGGGCAGGATTCTAGTACTTGGGACATGAGCGTTCAAGTCCCTGCTCTGCCACTGACTTTGTGTGAGACCTTAGGCAAGTTACTTAGCCTCTCTGTGTCTCAGTGTCCTACCTGTAACATGGGACACAGTGCTTTCCTAACGCCCAGGGCCGTTGTGTGGAAAAATACTTCCTAGAGCGTAAGGCAGACATTAGGGTAAACGGAGCGATAAAAGTAGCTGAAATAGAGTGCATCGACTCACCTAGGAAAGCCAGGATAGTCTGAACTAAGGCAGAAACACTGGGTCCCAGTCACCCCTGCTGGGATGAAATTGGCTCACATGCATGAACTCCCTCTGGGGTGTCCCCGGCAGTCGTTGCACAGAAAATCAATCAATGGCGGCATTATTTAAATACAGCAGAGCTAAGCTAGAATCCGGCTTGCCTCCAGCTCTCCTTGCTTTGGTCCAGCTGAGGACGGTTAACGTTGCCACACAATAGGCGTGTTGGCTTTTTGTTCGAAGGTCCAGCTGGGCCTGGAATACAGCAGACCTCTTACATGCAGCTTGTCCCACTTTCACTAGATTACACATTTCAGCAGGGGGGATTTTAAGCACATTATGGATCCTCACTGTGAAGTAGATACGATGGCAATATCAACTGGAGTCGAGTAGGGCTAAGTGACTTTCCCAAGTTCCCACCCACATTCCTACCCCTTCCTGACCTCCAAGCTCCCTTCACAGTGGCTGCAGGCACCCACCTTGGCTTTGCCTGCAACTAGAGCAATATGCTCCTCCTCGGCCCCCAGGCCTCTGGCTATACTTAAGATACTCATCTGGCTCCCATCACTCTAGTAGTATCTGAGCACTTTAAACTCTAAGGGCTGTACTGTTATCTCCATTTACAGATGGGGAACTGAGGCACTGAGAGACTAAGTGAGTTGCCTAAGGGCACACAAAAATGTCTGTGGCAGAGAAGGGAATTGAACCCAGCTCTCAAGCCCTAGACAAGTGCTCTAACCCTGGGGCTGATTCTCCATGCTTCCCTAGGCTGCAGGAGATGCAGCCACACCCATTTCCATCACCCCTCCATTTCATTAGCCTTGTTGGGCAGGGGGAAGTTGTGTGATGCAGGAGAGCTCCCTGCAAAACCTCCTTTCTCCTCATTGAGAGCGACTCTGGCTGAACTGTTCAACGTGGTCACGCTCGCATTTCCTTTTCTGGGGCAAAATGTCAGCGTGAGAACGGCTGAATTTCTCAAACAAAAGAAGGTTGTTTTGCGAAAAAAAAACAAAACCAATCAGCACGTATCAAAAATGGACAAAAATAAAATGGAATCTAAAACTTGAGCTTGTCTCAATATTGTTTTCTGGTTTTTGAGCCTGCACTAACCAGAAATAAGACACATTGAATCAAGGCGGAGACCTTCATTGGCTATTCTAGGTGTGACTCTTTTGTGTTTAGGGACAAATAACTTTTTCCCTCTTTTCTACAATGGAAATGGAACGATAGTGTATTTGCATCAGAGCTGCCGTTCGTTGTTGTTTGCTATAAAGCTCTGCAGTGGCTTTCTTTTCCAAAGGTGAGACAGAGCAGCCCAAATTACATTTTTGGGGATATATCTTGTCCCTTGAGCACCCCTCAGTTAACACAACACATCCAAAAATTCAGACAGGATTTGTTACTTTTCGTGGTTTTTAAAACACCCGTCAGTCAGAGATACTGTCCAAGGTAAAAGCGTAATACAAGCTGAAGAATGGAGCCACTACTGTGCCTCCATAATGTATCTGCTGATGTAGTTAGTGAGATCAGAACTCACTACAACTGTCTCTTTCCATACCGAGCACATCCAAAATGCTATTTTATAGTCATAAAAAAATACAATCCCGAGTTAGTTACACTGGAAACTAGCTTCAATGTGACATTAGCACCCAAGCGTTAGTTAAATACATGAAAATCCATCTTGTGAAACCTGCCCAACTAGGCACGTCCAAGCTGTTAAAACTCAATCAAAATAGGGAAGGGAGCTTTTACTGATTGCTCGCCTGGTCAGTAAATCACGGCTCTCCTCCTTGGCAGCAGGCCATGTTAGCGGCACAGCAGGCCAATTCTGCCAGGTGTAGTCAATACGAGTGGGATAGTGCCCAAAGACCAATGTGACTTCACTTCTTTTGTTAAACGAGGAAGGAAATGAATTTGCCTGGGCTTGAAATAAATGACTCCAAACATTATTGTTCTGGCTAAGCTAAGAAACGCCCAATTCCATCCCCACCTGTTTTCTGTTCCTGCTTCAGCTGGGCTGGAGTCACTGCCTGGAACTGACAAACCATCCATTTTAACGGAATGCTCAGACATAGCAAGGACATTTTGGGGGGCCATTTATTCACCCTGTTCTCTGTGTCTGTGCGCTGGATACTGGCACACTACAGACTGTGAGCCAAGCCAGCAGCTCGCTGACCAGCCCTCTGAGCTGTAGTGCAGTGTGTCCCTTTAAGGGCACGCGTAGGTCCAGCCACCCCTGCTCCAAGGCTCAGCCCCTCAGTTTCCCCCGACGGATCACGTGACCAAGCGGGAAGTCAGCCCTGGTTTGAATTGGGGGCAGGCAAGCTCTGTGCTCAGTCTGGGAGACAGCAGGATTGAAGCAAGATCTGGAGTGAGGCCTTCCCTAGGGAGCAGGGAAACAGGCCTGGAGATGGAGCAGTTGGGTGGAGGACTGCAAGGAGAAGGCTGGAGAGAAAGCCTGAGCAGAGGTCAGCGTAGGAAGCGGCTCTGTGACAGGCAGGATTCTGCTCCTGATTTAGAGTATGTCTACACTGCAGCTGGGAGCGAGCCCCCCAGCTTGGGCGGGCAGACTCACGCCAGCTGGGCTTCAGCTAGTGCGCTAAAAATAGCAGTGTGGAGACTGCGGCTTGGGCAGCAGCTCAGGCTTTACTGGATCTGAGCTCATGTGGCCAGCCTGAGTCTCCACTGGAACCACAACGTCCACACTGCTATTTCTAGCACCCTCGCTCAAGCCAAGCTAGTGCAAGTCTGTCTACCTGGGCTGGGAGCTCACCCAGCTGCAGTGTAAACATACCCTGAGGGGCTTCAGCCTGGAGTAGAAAGAGGAGCGGGGCTCCTTCATGGTGCCACCTGGAAGTGGAGGTGAAAAGTCCCCTGGGGGCAAAGGCCTCCTGAACCCTGCCACAGGGATTGGTCGGCCCTCCCCACCCTAGAAGGGAAGATCACGGTGCCTGGTTGTGAACTCGTGTTTGCCCTGAAAGGGAAAGACTCTGGCTTCGGGCAGAGGTCAAGATACAAAAACCACCCAGCCAGCAGCTGTTCCTCCAAGCTGGGGAGAAGCAAGCCGCTGGGGAAATAACCCTCTGGAAGGAGGGCTGCTAATGGCCGAGTTTCAAGACGTTGTCACAAATACATAAGAGGCCCCATGCTTTAGTTGCTTAGTAAGATCTTTAAATGCCCGATTTAACATCTGTACCTTCCCTTTGCTGCAGGCAGCAGAGCTAGGCCATCGTAGACAAGACTACAGTTCCTACTGCTGCAGCCTCAGCCCTAGAGTCAGAACCAGGCAGAGAGGGTCTCTGGCATTCGTCGTATCCGCTGGCATTGCTAGCATGCTCTGTGGAAGACACTCGGCCCGTTTTCCATCAACCCCCCGTCCTTTCCCAAGTAGTTAATGCATTAGAAAAACGTTGGCACTTTTGCTTTGATGCACTTTGAAGTTGTAAAAGTGACTGAAAATCATGTCTGGTGCTGGATATGCTCTCGTGCCCGAGCAGCGGAAGATTCTGTTGCCCAGTGTTAGTCCCCTGAGACAGTCCCTTGCCCATTCCAGTGAATGCCTGCCATCGCAGGATTTCACATCTAATGGAACACCCCTCCTGGCCCACCCACAGAACCCCAAACATACCCAAGTACTATCGTCACAACCTCCGTTAAGCAGCAGAACCGTTGCCCCACTACTTACAGCAGGTTCTGCTACTGCCAATTTACTATGCATCATGTCCCCAGATTGCAGAAGACCATGGCCATTTCAGAAGGAGCAAGCGCACAGCTCCAGAGTTGGACTCTAGCAGGAGTGGTAAGAGACAGCACACAACTGGGGAGCTACTCTGCATGATACAGTACGTGGGTGCAGGAAGAAGGAATCTAGCAACGTACCCCAGCAGGAGGAAAAGGTTAGAGCTCCAGACAGACAAGAACTGGAGCTGTATGCTCCTATGGAGACTTAAGAGTAAATTATTAACAAGATGTCAGAGGACTGGATTGGACACCAAACACACAGCCCCAGCTGGTTAATTTAGTCTCACTCCATTACAATTGCTCCATCAATCCCGTCAGTTTCGCCCTCTCCTTTGCCTCTCTCAACCTGCAGTCCTGGCTGGGGGGGGTCAGCCTTGGGAGTGGACGTGTAGCAGGGTTCCTCAGCTGGCCGTAGTCTCCTCTTCACAGCAGCAACCCAAGTCCCAAGGGACGCGGTTCCCCAGTGGTGGCACTGTGCCTGCTCCGTGAGCTCCGAGGTCTCCTCGGATGAACTCAATGCACTGCACTGACTGGTGCAGCAGAGGGACGGACGGCTCTGCAGAAAGCCAGGAGTGCCAATGCCCAGGATTGGACTGATATTAGCCATGGTAATGGGGAAGCCCTCTCCTTTACCTACGATGTTGTCTGGTACAGGCTTGAGCCTGCTGTCCTCCACCAGCACCACAAGGCCATCAGCCACACAGCTGGCTGCTCCCCCACCTCCGTTCAGAGATGCAGTGGCCTCTGCATTGGCACTGAAGTACAGAGTTAGACTCTCGTGCATCTGAGCTGTCCCTTCTGGGTGCTCCACAACAGCTTCCAAGTCAGTGCTGCCGTTGGCACTGCTGTTTGAAGCGAGAGGAGCAGACAAGTCTCCCGCTTTGTCTGCCTGAGCTTCACGTCTGCTCATCGAGTCTGTGCAGTCAGGGGCCTTTGGTGTTGGCCTGTGCTCCTCTTGCAGGGTTGGCATTGTTCTAACAGAGCACATGTTGTGTTCGCTGCTTGCTAGAGTGACGTAAGTTGTCTCCTTCTTGCTCAGGCTTTCTCCAGCGCTGTTCTCTTCTGCCTGAAGTCTCTGTCCTACCACTCTGGCTTTAGGGGTTCCAGGGCATTTTCCCACCGAAGAAAAGCCAAGTTTGGTCTTCGGCCCAAGCACGGCACTGCAGTGTTTGCTTGCCACCCATCCTGAAGGGTAAAGCTCCCCAATTCCACCGTCTCCAAAGGCTGTGTTGATCTTGGACATATCCCCAGTTTTCAAGGCTAGCTTTACCAACAGCCAGTGATGATGGTTCACCCAGGTATCTTTCACAGAAGTATGACCTTCAAGTTCTCCAAGTGAGGTCTCACTGTGTGCTCTAGAAGCAGGCCTGGTATGCACCACCTTCGAGACTTCTGCATTTGAAGAGACAATGTCCCCCTGACCTGAAATTCCAAAGCTCTCCCCAGCTTCATTTACGGACCGGAAAGTGGATCCTTCGGTCCCGTTATACTTTGCAGCTGTGATGCTGCAAGATTTCTTCAGGAAACTCTGCCAGATCTCTGTGGATTTGGGATGTAGCAGACTGTAATAGATGACCAGAGCCGCAGAGCCTGAAAGACAGCAAAAAGGAACAAGGTGACGTTTTTGCCAACACCTCACTGTGGCATATAGCGCGAAACAGTTAGGAATACTGATGTGATTAGGTATCCAAGCAGTAGTACCATTGCTGATATTCAGTGGTACGCAAAGTTTTTGAGGTAGGGTCTGTTTTACAATTTAAGCATTTTCAATTGCTTATGTAAAGGATGCAACTGTGGCTGTGTCATGGGGAGGGAAAACGCACCAGTAGCTAGATGCAATCTGGCTGCACGGAATCTATCCGAAGAATGCTTCTGGGAGCATCAATACCACCTGCTAGGACCGTCACTCGACGGGTTCAAGTGCAGAGATAAGCAGTCCCTAAGTATTGGGAGGTGATATGTGGGGGCAGCCATCCACCTAAGACAAGGATCCAACCGGAGACTTGAGCAGAGCTAAGCATCTCTGTACCATCGCTACCTAGTCAGAAGGGATGTCACTTCGTTTTAGACCCAAATGTAGCACTTGTTCAATGCAGACTTACTGCTTGCCAGTGGAAATTATTCTAGAGTGCTGACTCATAGAATATCATGGTTGGAAGGGACCTCAGGAGGTCATCTAGTCCAACCCCCTGCTCAATGCAGGACCAATCCCCAGACAGATTTTTGCCCCCGATCCCTAAATGGCCCCCTCAAGGATTGAACTCACAACCCTGGGTTTAGCAGGCCAATGCTCAAACCACTGAGCTTTCCCTCCCCCGCTCATAACATTTTCTTTAAATCAGACTGAACTGCTTCTATGACTCTCCCAGCGTTCCAGCCTTCCTGTTGTGCTGCGGGGTGTTCCTCATTTTATTAGGGCCACCAACGTCCTTTGTCACTGGCAGATTGAGGTTAAGAGCTTGTGGTTAGCAGAGGATGTAGGAGGACAAGGCGTGGGTGGCCGAATAGCAGCTCAAAAATAAGAACATACGTCACTCCTGACGCCAGTCCAGAAAAGACTTCTGCATCAGGTTCAGGGCACAACCATTAGGAGACCGGGAAGAGGGTTGTGTGAAGAACAGCCTCAAACTCTGCAGAGCTCAGTATGCAGAGAGACGGTGTTAGAGCAACACCTGGGTTGGAGGCCAGACGCCAACAGTGAAGAACAGGAGCTGTTGGGATCCGGGGTTATATTTCTGGAAATGGCATTCAGAAAACAAGCTGGTGGAAGGGACAGTGGATTAGCGGTGCCATCGCACAGTGAAACAGCAACACGGAGCTGCTTCTGAAGAACAGCTCCTTGTCTGCCCAGGAATAGAGAGACCCACAGGAGACGTCTAGGGCAACATTTTCAAAGGCTCCTAAGTGACTGAGGTGCTTTTGAAAACATTACCCCCAGACACTCTGAAAAATAAAGCCAAGGGCGGGAGAGAAGTTAATGGAATCAGTTAGACGGCGCGATTCCCTCTGAGCCTCATCTTGATCAAATGCAGGATCTGCTCAGTGCCAGATAGAATACTGCCCAAGTCCCGGCCGCTGGCATGAGTTGCAGTGCATGGAGTGATGACGGGGGGCAGGGAAGAAAAACAGCGACGGTGGTTTAGTGAGGAGTTAGGTGCTTGATGCTTCCCCCCCCCCCGCAGTAAAGGAAACGACTTACCAAGGAGATCCTGACAAGGTTGGAGCTAGGCTCCCTCTACAATGGAAGGGTGCGCAACTTGGAGAGCGGGATGGGGGGGAGGAGGCAACTGGCAAATCCCCAAGGGTCAGCAAGGAGCGCTGAGCACAACGAAGCGGATAGAAGGACAGCCATGGGGTTTCCCTACCCACAACCCTGCCCATGGCAGCTGGTCCCTCCTGAGGTAGGTGGGAGGGAAGCGAGCGCATTAACCGTTCACCACTATGGACTCGGGAGTCACAGCCTTGGAGAGAGAAATCCACTCACGGCTTCAGTGTCTGCTTCCCAGTTCTGTCCTGTGCTCCTCCTACCCCGACTGCATGCCTGGGACAGTCTCTTGGGGGTGGAGAACATGTTGTGGAGAAGCCAGTTCTCCCACCCTGTCTACGCAGGTGGAGAGGAACACCAGGCATTCGCTGAGCTGCAGTAAGTTACAATGGGGAGGATATTGTGGAGAGCAGGCACAATGCGAGAGAATCAAGGCTAACGTTTTCCCGTGCAAGTCACTACATTGTTGCAAAGGGATAGTCATGCCCAACATCCTTCACAATGCAGGGCCACATTCAGTCCTCAAGCGCATGCACCTGACTGAATGGGAGCACGATCACCCGCCACGGGCCAAATCTGGTCCCTGAAAGAGGGGGATCTCCCCCCCACCCACATTTCTGCATAGTCCTTCATCAACGTACTCTCAGCCAGAAGAAAGGAACACACTTTAACAAGACCAATCCCTCTTGTAACCCTACTCATTTCACTGGCAAGAGTTTCCGAACAGTGATCCTCCATACGACAGCGCCACTAACCCCAAGCGCTCAAAAATCACAAGTCAGGCCCCCAAAATAACGAGACTTTTTTAAGCCAACCATAGCATTTGCTTCCTGGTTTCGGAGCCTTCAGAGTGCACTGAAGTCACTTTTTCAAGCATCCCTCTGCTACCGCGAGGGCTAGGAAGTCACCCTTTTAAAAAGGGAAGGCCAAGATTGACTCCATGTTAGAAACCAGGACGCAGGTGGTCTGGCCTACTGTCAGAGCAAGGGGGTTAGATCTAGTGTGCAGGCATCCAGGCAGGGAATGGAAGCTAAGGGTCGGAGCTGGCAGTTACTCCCACATACCGGAGCCAGAAGGCTGAGCCAAGTTGGGGCCAGGAACCAAAGCTAAGGATAAGAGTCAGGGTTGGATATCAAATGCCAGAGCCAAGGGTTGAGCCAGTCAAAAGTCGGGGGCGGGGTCAAAGCCAGGGTTAGTAGCCGATGGTCAGGAGCAAGATGAAAAGGCAGGAATCGGGGAGAGGCAAGAATCAGGCACGAAACAGGATCAAGACAGGAGCTGGAAGTGAGGAGAAGGTCAGGAGTGGAGCAGGAATCAGCACCAGGCTTAGATCAGGGTTACAGGAGACAGGCAAGAGCAGGGTCCGATGTGGCCGCAGCAGAAAGTCTTCACAACAGGTTGGACGGCCCACTCGGGTCACTTCCTGGCTTAAGTAGCAGATGTGAGCCAATCAGGCGGCTGCAGGCCTTTAGTGCTCCGACAGAACTTCCCATGGGGCCTGACTTTCCAAGTTCAGCGAGATGATGCTTTGCCTATCTCCCTTGGCTGGCCCCGAGGGAGTGTCAGTGATCCAGAGACCCCTGGGTTCTAGACCTGCATCCTCGGATTCTCCCAATATGACTCCAGGAACCAGAGCTTTTAGAAAAGATACCGACCCTCATGAGAAAATTGTGAGAGCTGGCAACACTATTCTAGGCAGGTTCTTACAGTGCTCTCATCAGCATAGTATCCGAGCACCTTCTGATTCAGAGCGTGAGAAAGCAATAGACCTTACCGATCACGAATCCAGCCATCACAGCCCCTGTCATAAACAGGCTCTCCCGCCGCGCCCCCTGCAGGAGGTCTGTGGCCAACATCAAAAGGAAGATGTTCTCTATCAGCATTATCTGCAGGGCAAAGGAAAGATAGCTGTCACTCAGAGCTGCATGTGCGCCAACTGGCTGTAGACACGGCTCCTACTGTGGAGGGAGTTAAATGACACACATGAATACGTTCTAAGCTTTACCTATTTATTTTGCTCTCACTTGCTATCATACCCTGAGCTCCCGCTACCATTCTGGCCTTCTCCCCCACGTAGGTTTTGAATAGAAATGAAACACGGCTCTTTGCTTGTGAAAATAAATTGCAAGTTTTTATAGTACCTTTTCTGTGCCAAAGCATCTCCACAAACCAGCAACATGGAACAGGTTCAGCAGAGATCTGAGAGCAACACCAGACACCACAGAACCAGCAATGCGCACGTGTTTCCCACGAACAATAATAGTAGCAGCCTTTATTGTATTTAGAAGGAGCCTCCCAGGGCTGCCACTCTGCACCTTTCATGAGCGCTAAATTCACTTAATCTTTATAACCTCTTCGATTTTAGGAAAGTGTGTCCACTCCAATTAGTGTAGCAGGATTTTTCAAGTGGAACTGATGTTGCCAACATAAAAATGGAGCTATGCATGCTAAACTAACAGTAGTCAAATATCATGCCTCAGGGCAGAGACTGATCATTATAAGGGTCAGAAAGTAAGCGCCACCCCAGGGAGCACTGCTGTTAGAAGCAGGAAATGGGGAAATGGCTCACCGGAAGCATTAGGTGAAGGTCACTGCTGGAAACCCGTTACTGTTTATTATGGCCAGACTCTATGGGCTCCATTGTAGGACACACAGAAGCGGCCATGGCCCTTACTGCACAGGTCTTACGGTTAGATTAGTTCTTAATTGTTTTTGTTGTTAGTGACTGTGACTCTAAGAGCCAAGAGGAGACCAAGCACTTACCGCATAAAACACAGCCACTCTGTACCTGGAGGGGCCAGCTTGGAAGTTAATGTAGCAGAAGATGTACACGGCCCCCACCAGGAAGTTGAACAGTCTCCAGTGACAGGAACTCGCTATGATGTCAGTTTGCTGAGACACCAGCCAGAAGGACATCACCAGCCAGTGAGCACCTCGGCGGGGAAGGCAGAGAGTAAAAAGCAAATTAGCTGCTGTGGTGAGCTGAGGCGGGGAAGCTAGCCAATCTCACAAGCATCAGCAGTGAAGGACCACTGGCAAGAAACCCTGAAGGTGGATGGAGAAATCAGATCACTGCCAGGATAGACGTGCAAAGGAACTGACTCTCTTCCTTACACCGTGTCCTGTGGGGCAGCACAGGGAATGCTTTGCCCGTGTTGTACCAATCCTGGATGGGAGAGGGATTGCAGGCCCCAGAGCTGTCAAGCCAACACTGATCATGAGCTGTGTATTTACTGAAAAGAACAGAGGAACCCTGGATTCACTGACACTGCAGAGAAAAACCTGCAGCGCTGAGTCTCAGAGCCTAGGTCAATGGATTCGGGCTTGCGGGGCTAAAAAGAGCAGTGCAGACATTAGGGCTTGGGCTGGAGCCCGGGCTCTGAAACCCAGCGAGGAGGAAAGGTCTGAGTCCGGGCTCTAGCCCGAGTGGGACTACTCTACTATTTTTAGTCCCGGGCCCCAAGTTTACTGATCCAGGTTCTGAGACTGAGTGCTGTGGGTCTTTCTTTGCAGTGTAGACATGATTTAGTTGGTGTTGGTCCTGCTTTGAGCAGGGGGTTGGACTAGATGACCTGCTGAGGTCCCTTCCAACCGGATCTTCTACGATTCTATGAACTCTCCTCGGTGAGAGAAACAGGAGAATTACGCCACCTAGTGTCAGTTCACAACAGGGGACACAGGAGTCTATTAACTGCACAAACAGGCACAGGAAATCTCATCTTACCTGCTGCGACAAAAACCCAGACAGGATAGACTCTGGCAAAGAGGACCAGGGCCACGACCCTCGTTCCTAGCATTCCTGTCCTCCACAACAACTGGCACAGGAGGGCCGCTGCTGGCATGTAGAGATGACCTGGTTTCATTAGGCATGTAAAGCGGCTGTAAGAGACTAAAGACCAGGAGAGGGAGAGCAGGGAAAGTCCAGCACTCACACCTACAAAGGAAGGAGGAGGGACATTATTCAAAAGGCACCATGAGGGGTCAGAAATCCACGGCACCTGCATTCCACAGGACAGATGGTTTTCACTCCAGCTGGAGCACTTGACCAAATGTTCCTCTGCTGACCTGTGTTTGTTCTCCACTAAACCCTCACCTCGATTTCTTTCCTTCCCCAGTTATCAGTTTTATTAGGATTAAAAGTATCTTTTGCAACAGCCATTAAAAGACCATCAATCCACTGACAATTGTTCTCATGCTAATACACACCAGTGCATCAAGCACACCTTCTTATTACTGGCAGGATACTGGGCTAGGTGGACCTTTGGTCCGACCCAGTATGGCCGTTCTTATGTACGTTCTACTTCATCAGTACTGTCACAACTTCAGTGTAACTGCACCTCTATTTCCTCACCCATGGTCCAGTCCAGGGACGCCCCATCAGGTCTCCAGCCATCACCTGTCTCTGGGCAGGGACCCTGCCCACTCCTTTCTTAGCTGGGGGTTTTAAGGCTGCACAGCTCCCTGCCTTACACCGTGATACCCCAGCAAGCCAGTCTGCCCAACAGCCAGGCCCTGGGTGTTGCTTTCTCTCTGAGGGTGATGAACAATGTATTGCCCTCAGTTACCACGCAGCTCCTTCTGAGCAAGTGTAACACCGACAGACCCCGGTCGTCGTCAGGCAGAATCGAACCTGGGGCCTCTGGAGCTTAGTGCATGAGCCTCTACCGCAAGAGCTAAAAGCCACTAGCTGTTAGCTAAGGCTGTAGAGCAGACCCATAATCTCTCTCTCTCTAAGTGGTCTCAGCGCCACTAGATGGGACAGAACACCACACCTAGGAGATGTGTGGGTTACACAAGCACGTTTATTCTTAAGGTAAAAGCATTACAGAGAAAACATAATAAAAATAATACAGATTTAAAGCGACACGAAACATACCAGGAGTCACCCATCCATTTTATGGGGCTCTCATAGGCCAAAGTCTTTCCAACCCTTCTGCTAGGGTTAATCAGAAAGAAGCCCCTTTCACTCTTTTATACCAAAAACCCTTTCTTTGTTCCCTAGTCTCTGAAAAACCCAGCCCGAGCCAGTCTAGGCAACGCCCCCCTCCCCGAACTGTTTAGTCTCAGTGACTCGCCTTAACCCCTCCCCGCCTTCAACCCTAGTTTTAGTTCCTGGAGGTGCTGTGGGTACCCCTCCTCCATGGACTAGAATACACTCACACAGAAACCATTCATAAATGTAATACAATGGCCCCCCAAAGATACTGCCTGCGATTGCAATCGCTCTCACAAGTATGTTCCATTGCACACCTATGGAGAAACCTTTGTGTGTGAGAGAGGGACTCCTAGCACTTGTGGGACTGATAGCCCTGGATAGCTGAGTCTTCTATTCCCGCACACACACAGTAGGAATACCACAGGCAGTGGCAGGGCAAGTTTATCCCATCCTCCCATACCCCTAGTCTGGAGGAACCAGCAGTTCCTCTAGTAGGGTGTTTCTAGTACTGAATTACAGTGCGACCATGGGCAACTCACAACCTTTCTGTGCCTCAGTTTCCCTATTTGCAAATCAGAGCTGACACTTGACCTTTATAAAGCACTTGGAGAGCTACACATGGAGAGTACTAAGCACCATGGTTATTAATTCTTCATGCTCATTCAGTCCGTGGCTTCTCTCGTAAGACTGCCCCTTAGCGTCAGCCACAGTGACTTCTCTCCAATGGGCTGAGAACACTAATTTTATCTTTTCAGTGGACGATCCTCATGCACCTGATCCGCATTCGAACCTGCCGGGGAAGTGGAATGCTCCTTCTATACAAGGAGAGAGGCTCTCTGTGCCATTGCAGGATAATTCTGAATTTTGCAGGGCGATGAACTGGATAGTCCATCTCAAATGGTAAGGATTCTATGCCTACCCCAAGATCAGTCCTCAAGCCATCACGCACCCCAGTAAACCTAGTGATTAACTCCTCCAGAGATGACACAAACACGGGCCTCCCGACGGTCCTCTGTCCTGGCCACACATGGAACCCAAGTTCGATTCCCAGTTTCTCTGCTGTGGCATGAACTGGCCGCTGAGCTGTTGAAGAGCAGTCATGCTGCAGGCAGATTAAGGAGCGAAGAGGGCACACTCTGGCTGTTCTCTGTCAGAAGGAATGCATCCACTGTGTGGGGGTCACAAGAAAACGGTTGGGAAAAGATGGGGAGCCCTTGAGAGAGAGAGGAGAGACACCAGCATTTGCTGCTAAGAAGCTCAAGAGGCTAATTTTTTAAAAGCACCGTTCTGAATATGTTTTTCTCCAGTTAGTCTGCAATATGGTCCTTCATCCTGAAAGTCCACTCCTGCTACCTGTGCCCATCTACCCTGGGAACATTAGAAGACACATACATTAGAGGACACATCTCACACATACATCACCTTCCTTCTACATTTAAAGACTCCCCACTTACCTGGGACAAGGCCAGTCAGTTCCACCGCTACAAAAACGTAGCTCTGGAGCAACAGGTGGGGCAAGGTCTGCAGCAGGGCTTCCAAGAGCCGCAGAACTGACAGGTCCCCCAGCTGCATGAGGAGATCTCCAGCAATGGAGCTTCCTCCAGCCTTCGCAGCTGTCCACAGAGCGTCCCAATGCCTGAAAGAGTACAAACCACAATCAGGGCTCTTCGAGGCAAAGGACCTGTGCCTGATTCTGATCCTACTTCCATCAACTTGACAGCGTAACTCTACTGCTTTCAGCAGTTACTTCTGATGTACACAGGTGTGATCTAGCGCAGAGGTTCTCAACCAGGGGTCCGGGGCCCACTGGGGGGCTGCGAGCAGGTTTCAGGGGGTCCGCCAAGCAGGGCTGGCATTAGACCTGCTGGGGCCCAGGCAGAAAGCCAAAGCTCCACCACCTGGGGCTGAAGCCGGGGGGCTCCAAGTCCCGCCACCTGGGGCTGAAATTGAAGCCTGAGCAACTTAGCTTCGCAGGACCCCCTGTGGCATGGGGCACCAGGCAATTGCCCTGCTTGTTACCTCCTAACGCTGGCCCTGGCTTCTGTATGCAGAAAAACAGCTGTTGTGGTACAGCTGGGCCGTGGAGTTTTTATAGCATGTTGGGAGGGCCTCAGAAAGAAAAAGGTTGAGAACCCCTAATCTAGAGGAGAATCAGGCCCTTTGGACCCTGTGCAGTCATTTCCCCTTGTGTAAAGTGATAACATCCTGATCCAGGGGCATTTTACACCCAGCGTCAATGACTACAAATGGCTTGAAGTGGTGGAAAATCAGGACTCTTGGCTTCATGCTTCCCTGCAAAGCACTTAGCACGTTGCTGGTGCTAGACCCGGGATTGGCAACCTTTGGCATGCAGCCCGTCGGGGAAATCCGCTGGCGGGCTGGGATAGTTTATTTACCTGCAGCGTCCGCAGGTTCGGCCGATCGCAGCTCCCACTGGCCGCAATTCGCCATTCCAGGCCAATGGGGGCTGCGGGAAGCGGCGGCCAGCACATCCCTCGGCCCACACCGCTTACTGCAGCCCCCATTGGCCGGGAACAGCCAACCGTGGCCAGTGGGAGCTGCGATCGGCCAAACCTGCGGACGCTGCAGGTAAACAAACCGTCCCAGCCCGCCAGCAGATTTCCCTGACGGGCCGCGTGCCAAAGGCTGCCCATCCCTCTGCTAGACAAATAATTCTGAGCAGGAATTGTAGATAATAAAGTTATTAAATACACACACACACTAATTATACACACACCCTTGAGAGTTCCCTTCCAGTCGCTCTGAGTGCATTACAGTTTAGAAGGCTGCTCCTCCACCTCCAGAGCCACTATTTGATCCGGTTCAATACATGAACTTTAGCTAATCTGTTAACATTGACACAATTTTAATCAATGACTTGTCACTGATACCCACCGATGTAATTTATGTCACAACTTGTAATCTTTTAGAGGTGTTTACTTAAGGTAAATACTGGGGTTTGCAATAAACCCTATGCACACAGTAAATACAGCCATCTGGCAGACCGGCCCTTAGCCAGAGGCTATTTAGTTTTATACTTCAGGCCTGTATAGCCATTCCTAACAGAGACACTGGATTTAATGAACTAGGGAGGTAAAATGTTAACTGATTAACTGGTAAGCAGTAGTCTTACTGGGTAACCGGTGTTAACCGTTAACCCCGTGCTGGCGGCCGCAGTGACCCCATGTCGCCCGTCTGGCCAGAGCAGCCATGCCTGCCGGATCGGCCCCAGCCGCTTAATCAGTTAACCATTTAAATGAAATATTTTAAATCGTTTAAACGGTTAAATTTTGTAAGCGGTATTTACATCCCTAGAATGAACATGAGTGTTGAGAAACCAATAACCCCTTCAGTGCCATCATGAAAGGACAGTGCAAAAATTGACAAGTCCAACGTTTAGCCTTCTTCCTCCAACACCCATCTGTTTGCAAAGGTTTATACAATGGGTGTCTCTCCGCCATGCAACTAGAGTCCTAATCCCTCAGCACGGGGACCAGTCAGCTCCACAACCGTGTTGCACCAAGGCCATGTCTACACACAGAAATTTTACTGGTTCAACTAAAGGTCAGCTGTTAAATCAATGCAATTACAATGGTGGAGCGCTGTGCGTGCACCAAGTTGTTTTCATGTGGCTCTATTTTAATGGTTAACAGTGTCCCCAAATTACGGCATCTCAAAGGCTTTTGCATGGTTTGTGACCATGGTTCGGTCTCACCTACATTACAAAACGGAATACTTTTGTAACCAGTTCACTAGACTAAGTAGTTGTAATACAGATCTGGTTTGGTCATTTAGTCCATTCTTCTCGCAGTGTGGAGCACCATCCCCTGCAATTTATTCTCCAATACTTTGTCCAATCTAGCTGTAAAACAGCTCCAACAGGTGGTGCTTTCACCACCTTATTTCACACCCTCCTAGATCTCATTTGTCAGGTAGTGCTCTAGTTCAACCACAAGTTATTGGGCTAGACCAGGGGCTCTCAAACTGCAGGTCGGACCCCTCAGGAGGTCGCGAGGTTATTACATGGGGGGTCGCGAGCTGTCAACCTCCACCCCAAATCCCGCTTTGCCTCCAGAATTTATAATGAATTAAAATATATAAAAAAAGTGTTTTTAATTTATAAGGGGGGGTCGCACTCAGAGGCTTGCTATGTGAAAGGGGTCACCAGTAAAAAAGATTGAGAGCCACTGGGCTAGACGCTGGAATCGCTGGGTGAGATTCCATGGCCTGCGTTATGCAGGAGGTCAGACTAGATGATAAGTCCATCCTGGCCTGAAAAGAAATCTGTGACAGTTTCTCCCCAGTCATCTGCTAACATTATTAAATGTAACTGCATACGCTCAAGGGCAGAGATAAGAAGTTCACTTATGGAGACAGCTTCCAGTTTCAAACTTCTGAGAGTGACTAATTGCTTTAAGAAAAGCGCAATGTGTCCTTTGAGATATCCATTTACAATAGCACTATTATACACTTTATAGGAGCTTCACAAACCGACAGAGGAAACATTATTGAATTAAAAAAAACCCCACATACATTATTGGCATTAATCACAAGTTACATACAAAGTGCAAACAAATTTTGTGAGCATTAATCGAGCATCTTCCACTCCCCTTCCCCGCCTCCCAATTTAATCTGGACAAGATCTGAAGGATTTTTAGGGTCTTCAATTAAAATAAGAACAAAAACAAAGCAAAACAACCTAGACAAATAAGCCTTCCTTTCAACAACAGGAATAATGGACAGTCCCTAGGACTTTTCCCCACTACTTGGGAAAAGAGAAGCATTCTCAACTAGTATCATCATATAGGACCACTCAAGCTGAATAACAGCATTAAGGGTGTGATGTCTTTACATGTCATCAACCTGCCAGGACATGTCAGCTTTCCCATCATCTTACTCTCAGGTCCCATCTTCCTCCATACCGTAGAACCCCTATTTGATTATCCCCTATTTTATGGGGGATTGACTTCATCAAACGGAACATCTCAAGATTCCAGGAGGCGTGGTGCATAGGTTAATTCTTTAATCGCTCAATGATAGTTTATATAACGAATGGTAACAACTGGATACAGTGTGCTTGATTTTTCTTTGAGGGAGAGAACTGCACCTCATCTTTGCCACCAAATATCTTAGTCTTTTCAAACCTGGGAAATGTGGTCTAGATGAAATTATTATAAGATGGGTGCACAACTGGTTGAAAGATTGTGCTCAAAGAGTAGTTATCCATGGTTTACTGTCAAACCAGGACGGCATATCTAGTAAGGTTCTGCAGGTGTCAGTCCTGGGTCCAGTACTATTCAATATTTTCATTAATGACTTGGATAATGGAGTGGAGAATGTGCTTATAAAATATGCAGATGACACCAAGCTGGGAAGGGCTGCAAATACTGTGGAGGACAGGATTAGAATTCAAAAAGAACTTGGTCTGAATTCAACAAAGACAAGTGCAAAGTACTTCACTGAGGAAGGAAAAATCAAAAGCACAACTATAAAATGGGTAGAGCCCTGTAGGGATACAAAATTTATATCTGCAGATGCGAATATCCGCTGATATAAAGTGGCAAAAAAGGAGTGCATCAACGGAAGGGTTGTATGCAAGACACAGGAGGAATACTTAAGTGGATCACAAATTGAGTGAGAGTCAACATGATGAGGTAACTGTCCCTCTCTACTCAGCACTGGTAAGACAGCTGGAATACTGTGTCCACTTCTGGGAATCACACTTAAGGAAAGATGTGGACAAATTGGAGAGAGTCCAGGGGAGAGCAACAAAAAGCTCAAAGGATTAGAAAACTTGACCTCTGAGGAAAAGTTAAGGTAACTGGACACGTTTAGTCTTTTGGAAAGAAGATTGAGGGGGGGAACCTGATAATCTTCCAATATGTAAAGGGCTGTTATAAAGAGGATGGTGATCACCTGTTTTCTAGGTCCACTTAGACAGGACAAAAAGTAATGGGCTCTATTTTCAGTAAGGGAGACTTAAGTTAGATAGAGGGAGGGATAGCTCAGTGGTTTGAGCCTTGACCTGTTAAACCCAGAGTTGTGAGTTCAATCCTTGAGGGGACCGCTTAGGGATGTGGGGCAAAATCAGTACTTGGTCCTGCTAGGGAAGGCAGGGGGCTGGACTCAATGCCCTTTCAAGGTCCGTTCTAGGAAATAGGATATCTCCATTAATTTAATTTATTTTATATTAGGAAAACTTTCTAACTATTAGTTAGTTAGTAGATAAGATCTGGAATAGACTTCCAAGGGAGGTTGTGGAATCCCTGCCACTAGAAGTTTCTTAAGAAGAAGTTTGGACAAACACCTGTCAGAGACAGTCTAGGTCTACTTGGTCCTGCCTCAGTGCAGGGGTCTGGACTTGATAGCTTCCTGAGGTCTCTTTCAGCCTGACAGTTCTATAATTCTATGTTGGTTGAAGGATCAGAGTCACACACAGTGGTAGAAAGATGGTTCAGACAACCAGTCATTTGTGAGACCAATGCCCATAAAATCAGGGTTCTACTGTAATTAGAAACCAGGCTAGCAACTTTCTAGAAGACAGTGTTGACACACAATTCTGTGGTTTGAAGTCTCAGTGTACCATAGGAAAATCCTGATCCTACACTGCAGAAAGAGACACCTAGCACAACTCCAGTGGTTCTCCTTGCAACATAATACACACAGGCACGCACACACTTTCCATGCAAAGTACATATATTTGTCCTCAGAAGATTAGATCTCAAGCCTCCTAATTCTTCAAAAGCTATGAGTTGTTTTCTCACCGCTTCCAAATCCCCAGCTGCAGCACGTGCACTATCACCAGACAGCAGCAGCCTCTGTGCCCATCTGCCCGGAACCAAGAGAAGCTGAGGAGTTGAACTATATAGTCAGGTAGAAGCAAGGCAATGGTCAACCAGCACCAGAGATACCGGCCAGAGAGAAGATAATGGATGATGGTGCAGACCCCTGAAAAAGGGAAAAGAAACAATATGATAGATGGTGACACACGTGGTACCTCTCCCACCTCGGCTCTAACAGTGCACCAGCCTTTGTGGCCCAAATCACATCTGCCCACAAGTATCATCACTCTTTCTCCTGTGTCACTACTTCTTATGCCTGGGGCAAAGCTCCCCATAAAGATCCACAGAGGCACTACATTCAACTCCTTCAAACTCACCTCTCCCACAATAGCTACACAATGCTCAGCAACGGCTATTTATCTCCTGTGCCGTGACCTCTGTTTGTTACACTGAGCATAAGATCTGTTACCTTGTGCTCCCTTAGTCTGTATCTTTTGCATCCATTTAGTGCAGGGATTGGCAACCTTTGGCACGCGGCCCATCAGGGAAATCCGCTGGTGGGCTGGGCGGTTTGTTTACCTGCAGTGTCCGCAGGTTTGGCCGATTGCAGCTCCCACTGGCTGCGGTTCGCCGTTCCAGGCCAATGGGGGCTGCGGGAAGCGGCGTGGGCCGAGAGGTGTGCTGGCCGTTCGCTTCCCACAGATCCCATTGGCCGGGGACGGTGAACCGCAGCCAGTGGGAGCTGCGATTGGCCAAGCCTGCGGACGCTGCAGGTAAACAAACCGTCCCATCCTGCCAGCGGATTTCCCTGACAGGCCGCGTGCTAAAGGTTGCCAATCCCTGGTCTACGGTCTTATATTTAGATTGCGAATTCTCTGGGTGACCGTCTTTTTCATTATCTTGCTTGCACAGCACAGGGGCCCTGATCCATAGATGTGGCCTCTAGATGCTACCACCATACAAATTAAATAATAAAAATAAGTTCTCTGCTCTTAAAGCAAAAGAGGTTCGGATTAGGTTTTCAGTTTGGGCTCAACTCTATACAGAGAGAGGTTTTTTCCTTCCTTAACACTTTTGAAATCTTATTTCTAAGTGTTGGTTAGTGTGTAACATAACTATGCATGTTAGCAAAGGATAATTTGTAAAAAAGATGAAGTTATGCGTGCATCCAGCATAGCGGTTCTCAACCTATTTAACACTGTGGGCCGCATCCAATACTACCTCTATGGCCCTGGGGATGTCACATAGGCCGCAGCTGTGTACTGACTGGGCTGCAAGTTGAGAACCACTGATCCAGCACCTGGCACAATGGGGTTTGGCTCCATGCCTGGGCCTCCTAGGTACTATGGCATTACAAATCACAAATAGATACTCTCTCCTCAATTTAACCAAAGCCTTTTAAACACGTAGGGGCTTGTTTTCTGGAGGGTGTGTGTAAAGCAATGAGTAAAATGATAACTAACCCAGAGCGCTCATAGTAGACTGCACAGTGCTTTACCCAGGGGGTCAGCCTTATTATCCCCGAATTAAGGGAGCGGGAGAGGGGAGTGACCTGCCGAAGGTTTAGCAGACCGGTGGTAGGGGCAGGAACCGAATCCGGGTCTCCTGAGTCCCAGTCTAGCGCTTTATTCACATAGGCCACACCGTCCCCTCAAAGAAGTGGCAATCCTTTCTGTCTGCCCTTTCGTTGTTGCCGCCTGCTGTCCGGGATGGATCTAGAATAGCTCAGTGGGACTCTCAGGAACGGCTCAGGCCAATCCAGATCCTAACTTCCCAAGCTCCGGGCGTGCTCAGGTCCAGGATTCTGGCGTAGGACAGTCACTGAAAATAAGGGAGAGCTGGGCCTGGGCCCCTCCCTAGCAGCAGCCCCCCCTCCCCCCCCCCGCACTGGGGCAGCCTGCATTGGAAAGGGGAAGGCAGCAGGATTCGCGGAAGAGCCCAGCACGCAAAGGGTTAAAGATTTTAAAAACGACGCGCGCGCGCGCTCAACCAGCGGCGCTCCCCTCCTTGCTGCGCTGCAAAGGAAACGGCCGGCGCCGGGCCCGATCCTGCACCGGTGCCAGGGGCTCAGCCCTGCACGCTCTCCCCCGGCCCCTCCGTGCAAACCAGCCGGCCATGTGCATGCTCCACGTGCAGTCGTAGGGCAGCGGCGGAGGGGGGGGGACAGCTCAGTTGCTCCGCAGGTCACAGCGGCTGCTCGCAGGAATGGGGCTGGGGGAGGTGGGGTGCAGCTTGGGCGGGTGCCCGGGGAGTGTGTGCAGTTCCGCTGGCGAGCTGCATGCAGAAGGGGCGCAGCGGCGCAGTTACAGGGGGGCCCACCACTGCGCAGCTCCGGCGTGCAGCTCCATTGCTTAGTTGCAGGCAGACGGGTGCAGCGCGCGAGGGACATGCACGTGTGTTGGGGGTGCGCAGCCCCCCGGGTTAGTTGCAGGGACGGGGGGTGCAGGCAGCGCGGTTACACGGGGGCATTGCATTGGCGGCCGGGGCAGAGGGGGGGTATGCGGCGTTGGGGGCCCCCTAGTTAGCTGCAGGTCCCGCCGGGCCGGGAGACTCACGCGCGCTCTGTTCCGCCGCCAGCAGCAGGAGCGAGAGTCCCGCGAAGGCTGCGCGCATCCTCCTCCTTCGCCCGGGGCGGCCCGAGCCCGGCGGCGCCCAGCTCCGGTGCAAGGACTCCGGAGCAGCCCGGCTCCTCCCCGGCTCCCCTTCAAGGGCCAGCCGGCGCCCGCCCAGGGCTTTGCCTCCCGCCTTTGCAATGCTCCCTCCCCGTTAGCGGCCGGGGAGTTCTTGGGGGTCGGTTAGGCGGGGGGGGGGGGGGGGCAGCAGCAGCAGCTGCATTTGCAGGAACAGGCACTGGTTCCCCGCCAACTTTCTAATGGCACAAACCCCAACAGCGTTGCCCTTGTCCCGCCTCCTCCCCGAGACCCCGCCCCTTCTCCAAGGGCCCCCCTACTCTTTCCATCCCCCCTCCCTCAGTCGCTTGATCTCACCCTCCCTCCCTCACTTTCACTGGGTTGGGACAGGGGATTGGGGTGTGGGCTCCGGACTGGGGATGAATTCAAAGCAAAAAGGTTTCTCTCACCATATGCTTACAGCAGTCTGGTTGGATTCCTTCAGCCAGGACCACTCCCCCAGTTCAATGATGCTTCCTTTGTCTTTCAAACATTATTGAGGCCGTAAGTAGAGATGAGGGAAAAGAGGTGATTTGGGGCCCCTGTTCCTCATTTTTATATCTTTTCATCCTCTTTGAGAATTATCTCCAGCTGGAGGTCTGGTGACATCCAGTCTGTTTACATGGGAGGTAAATTTTTCCTTTACACCCTTCGGCTTGCCAAAGAATGGCCGCTTAACCAGGTGATAGTCCATTTGATTTTGTTGACACATACAGTTTACCATGACAATAATGATCAGCAAATTATGAGTTTTCAAATGATACTTCACAAGGCATGCTTTGTACAAGATTTATTATAGTTTTGTAAAAAGGATGAACATGAGGGTACAGACTGTCATATAGGCCCATAAGCCTAACGTCCGTACCAGACACATTGGTTGACACTATAGTAAAGAACAGAATTATCAGACACATTGATGACCATAATTTGTTGGGGAAGAGTCAGCACGACTTTTGTAAATGGAAATCATGTCTCACCAATCTATTAGAATTCTTTGAGGGGTCAACAAACATGTGGACAAAGGTGATCCAGTGGATATAGTGTACTTGGACTTCAGAAAGTCTTTGGCAAGGTCCCACACCGAAGGCTCTTAAGCAAAGTAAGCAGTCCATGGAGCTTCAGGGACCTGAAGCATTCCTCTCACAATATATGTGAAATTCAGCTTTTCTCATTTTTTGGCCTTGAGAATCCATAAAGATTTTTCCTGTGCTCATGCACTGAACTGTCCGTGAATTACTGAGACAATAACACACTGTTTTATGTGTGCTTGCAGGTCCCTCAACCTCAACTGGCCATTGTACTTCGGCAGCTCGGGCACACGCCAGCAGAACCCTGGGTCTTCATTTCATCCTGGATCGGTCGAAGAGGAAGGACTTCCGTGATGAAATTATGGTTGACAATCTGGACAGGGCCAACAAGCAGGTGCAATATCAGAGGGAAGGATTCACGGCAAGTTGAAAGAACAGGCAGGCTGCAGAGCTTGAGGACAAAATAGCACTGCGGGAGCTGACACTTGCATCTTGGTTCCTGAAACAGGAACGTGAGTTGAGTGAGGAAGACAGAGCCCAGTGGAAAGTCCGGTTTGAGAGGCTGCTTTCACTAATGGCCACTAGAGTGCAGGATCCTGCATTGCCCGCTCCACAGTCTGAGTCCCCTCCACGGTACCCTGCGCAGCAGACCAGGAACACTTTGGACAATTCCATGGTTGGCGGGTGGCCCATGCAACCAAGATTTAACAGTAGCTGGACAGGGCAAATCTACCCCCTGCAGTCCTCCACCCAGGGCCGGCTTTAGCAAGAGCGGGGCCCGATTCCTGGGGGCGGGGCTTGCTGCAAGCCCCGCCCCCAGGAATCGAGCCGTGCTCTGGCCGGGGTTGCCGGGCTTGGGTCCGACCCGGAGCCGCGCCGCGGGGGCCGGGCCGAGCCAGAGTAGGGCCGCGCCGGGGCGCGGGCCGGACCCGAGCCGCACCGCGGGGGCCGGGCCGAGCCGGAGTAGACTCGAGTCCCAGTACCCCTGGGTTCACACTGAAGTGTAGACCTACCCTTATGCCTATGGCCCCAACCTCAAATATGCACATAAGTAATGTTATGGCTGTGTGTAATCCCATTAGAAATGATGAGGGTACTCATGTGCAGAAAGTTAATCGCACAAGTCTTTGCAGGACTGGGTCCTAAGTCAGCACTTGGCCCCAAAACAGGTGACCACCTCCAAGTGGTCTCATACGTTGTGTCTGCTTAAAGCTGGCACTACCCCCCGACAACAAAACCACTATCCCCCACCAACATGGACTCATGCCCAGATCACACGGAGCAAAGCAACAACTAACATATGTGTCACGGTTATGGTTCTGGCAGCTCCTTGAGAAGCTCATCGAGAGAGGTCCTTTTTGTCAGGAACTTGGTCTTGCTAATCATTGCTTTGCCTCACTCCACTCAAGAAGAGAGTACAAGGGGGGAAAACCAAATAAGTCCGTCAGACTTTGCTGTTACCACTTCTCCCTTCTGGTGCAGAAATGACGTGAGCGTCCCCTGACTGAAGCCATTTTAAAGGGGGAACGTCAGGTCATTTCCACCACAACTAGAACCATCGTGTGAGTATTAAATGTGCAAATGCAGAATGTTTCTCTGTGTGTATATATAGTGGCCGGAGTGCAGGAAGCGGCGCGGGCTGAGGGATGTGCTGGCCACTGCTTCCCGCCACCCCCATTGGCCTGGAGCGGCGAACCGTGGCCAGTGGGAGCTGCAATCAGCCGAACCTGCGTACGTGGCAGGTAAACAAACCGGCCCGGCTCACCAGGGTGCTTACCCTGGCGAGCCACGTGCCAAAGGTTGCCAATCCCTGGACTAGTGTGAAGCTTCAGCTGGTGCAGAAAGCTGCCGCCCATGGGTTTTTACACTGGTGTGGCTATGCCTATGTATCTGTACCTGGCTAAACTGGGACATGCACTGGTAACCCACACTGGTGCATGTCACAGACTACACTGGGTCAGCCATGTCTGTGTAGCTATGCAGGGCAAAGCCCCTACATAGAGACAAGGCCTTACTATGAGCCTGAAGCTCCTTAGTGTTCCCTGAGCATGCTAAGTGTACTCTGGATTGCTACTGGTTAATCCCTTTGGTTTAGGGCCTAGGGAGCAGGGTTGGCCTTGCTCCAGTCTAACCAACTTTAATCCTACTACCTTGTTACCATCCCTCCTTTGGTTTAGTTCCTAACAGAAGTAGCTGTCTTGGAGAGGCAGATGCATTACTTTTAGGGGCTTTCATTTTTGCTTGGATGTAAAATCCTTCTCTCGCCTGTTTGGTCTTTTATTAACTTTATTATCAGTTGATTTATCACTACACGGTTTGTTTGTTTACTCCTGTGCTGAGGTATTTTGGTTTGGGTACCCCAGGCTGATCCATCACACTTTGATCTGGGATGCCCTCATCCTTAGGTTCATCTGACTTCCTCCCACCCTGGAATCTGTCCATTGTGGGAGGAGGGACAGCAAGGAAACTTATGGGAAAGAGAGGGGGAGGGGGAAGAGTCTGAACCTTTTGATGTTTGCTCACCACTAATTTATGACTTAGATTCGACATATTTGGCTTAGAGCCGTGGTTCTCAGCCTTTCCCACACTGCAACCCCCTATTCCTATCCGTCTGTGGTGCTGATATGGCCCCCACACTGTGGTGTCTGAGCACCCCACCATTTTCAATATATTTATCCTCACAACTCCCAGGTGAGAAAGGGGGTGCTCTTATCCCCATTTCACAGATGGAGCTAAGGCCCAGAGGCCCAGATACCCAAAGGTATTTAGGGTCCTAACTTTCAATGATTGGAGCCAAAGAGACTAAGACCATATCTACACTATGAGGACTGTAGTGGCATAGCTACAGCCCTGTAGTTATGCTGGCATAACTCCATAGTGTAGATGCTTCCTGCAGCGATGGAAGATTTTCCTGTTGCTGTAGGAGCACTATCTCCCCGAGTGATGGCAGCTAGGTAAACGGAAGCATTTTTCCATCAACCTCGCTGTGTCTACACTGGGGGTTAGGTCAACATAGCTACAGCGAGCAGGGGGGGGGTGAAAAATCCACCCCTCTGAACGCCATAGCTGTGCTGACCTGACTTTTAAGGTGTTTACTGGGCCTAAGTGACTTGCCCAAGGTCACACAGGAAGTCAACGCAGGGACTTGAAGCTGGGTCTCACAAGTCCCCTGTGAGTGCCCTAACCACTGGACCCTCCTTCCTTTCTGGGCATTGGATCATCCCCATCTCCTTAGTCCTCCCTCCAATCTAGCTAGGATCTAGCTGAGACCCTGCTCCCACTTAGCAGTATGGGAAGGGCAGGGCAGCTGCAAACCCCCGACACCTCTTTGCAAGCCCCCAGAGGGTTCTGACTCCCAGGTTGTGAACCGCTGTCTTAGAAGAGCATGGCACGGTACGTACTGGGTGCATCTATATATAATGATCATTTATTAAGGGAACAATGAAAAAACAGGCTTTGGCCCTGCTGCACCATGGAAGCACAGAATCATCAGCATTGCTTGGGACTGCTTTTCTTTGCTTCCCACATCAGCAGGGTCTCTACATTTTCTCTTTTCGATCATCATCATCATCATTGAGACAGCAGTTTCCCATCCCGTGATGGCATCGGCCAACATACGTTTCGATGTGGTGGCACAGGGTATGTCGGCACACGCCATTCAGCCTCCTGCATCGTCCCGCGCCTGTGAAGGGAAACAAGTGTGTCAGAATTCTCATCTCATCGATACTAGTGCCCAGTCCCAGGAGGCCGAACATGGTATTGAGAATTAGGAAACTAGCTAATCCCTGGCTGGCCACAAGGACACTCCAGTGGAGAAGGAGGAGGATTGGTGGGAGGCAGGACAAGTTCAGGATCCTTAATAGGCTATATGAGACCTCATCTTGACAGATCAAGAGGAACTGATCACAGAACTAAAAATTAATGGTAATTTAGGTACAAGTGAGCATGACTAGATCACATTTATGATGTGCAAACCAAACAAAGTCCAGACCAGTGATATATACACTTGGTGCTTTGAAAGTGCCCGTTTCACAAAGCTGAACACAATTATGA